CAGCTGCAGAGAGCGGAGAAAGTACTTCTTATTCAGATTCACCTCACAGACAACCAGATGGTCTCGATCTGAAATGGCTTAAAAAAGTCTTTCCCCTACTTCCCTTTAGGCTAATGCTACATCCATATTGAGAGATTTGAGAATGAACACATAGAATCGGTTGAGCGAAAAGTTCGTATTCCATCGTGTATTCTCGTATATCAGGGTCAGGAAATGGTCCATTATTGTTCTGTCAATTTCTGTGCTTAAATAACTGGCTGTCCAGTCATGCATACTGCGAATCCTTGAATGTAACACTATAAAGAACAACACTAAAAAGGCATGTTTTTTAGGAGCCAATAGTTTTGTGTAAAAAAAAAACAAAAAAACATTTTCAGTTTTTGCATTTCAAATCACAAGGTAAAAAGAGTCTGTAAAGCTGCACTAAGGCAAAACAGTGCTCTGAGCTAAATGCTAACAGTATGCTACAAATTCTACAGTAAGTAGGTTTTTCAGGTTCACCCTCTTAGCTCTTACCTGTTAGCATTTTACCATTTACTAATAGGTGTTTAACAGTATGTACAACAGTGGCTGATGCAAATATCATTACGCATAGTTTTGGTTATGGGCCAAAGTATTGGAAAACTCACCAGTTATTAAAATGCAGATAAGAATATTTGTGTTTATGCTGCATTCTATTACATCTCCAATGTAACAATTACCGACCTCTGAGTGGGAAGTTGCAACTGGAACACCACTTCAAGACGGAATTCACCACCCCGATATCGAAATCAAAGATGGCTGCGCTGTGTATCAACAGAAGTGAAAGCTGCAGTTTTTACTGATTATTTGCAGTTTTTCATTAAATGTGCCATACACATAGTACTGTCCAATTACTGTCTGTGGACATGTTACTATAGCATTGGTGTGTGTGAAATGCTGTGTAATGCATTAGTAATTGTTTTTCCTAACAATGGCTTGCTGGCTAATGTAAACATTGTTCCTGTGCAACTGGAACACCGTCAACTTGGGTTATTCGGCTGTGGTGTCATTACGAGTGCCAAGCTCCAAGCTCCGAGCCCCGAGCTCGGAGATGTGGCATTAATCCGATAGAAATCACTCCAAAAGATGACTGGATGTTTCACTCGAAACTACAGTAGGTAGGGAAGCAGGATTCATCCTCTAGGAACCACGAATGGCAGCAAAAAAATCAAAGGAAATCTATCCAGTTACTGTTGAGATACTTCAGTCTGAAAGAACCAACCAGGAGACCAACATAGAGGTAAAGGACATTTGGATACATCATGAGGGAATCACAAATATCTGTTTTTGACTGAGATTCACTTTGATATGCTCGTTGTGCCACATGAGGGGTCAGCAATCAAGCTAATAGTTGTGGAGACATTCCAGCCTTGACCAAGTTTTGGATCGACACTGTCCGATATTGCCATCCCGAGAGCCACACCAGCAAGTCTAAAAATATCACAAAGTTTATTCCAATGTAATTCCAATGTAAGAAATATCTTCCAAACTTTTCTCTAAGTTTCAAATGAATAATCTTTTGGGAAAACAGAACTTTTGCCTAAAAGGTCACACGCTGTGCGTTTCCCCTTTAACCTCTTCTTCTGCAGCCTCCCACAATCATTCCACTCTGCAGCACGCATTTTCTGCTCTTCTTCTGATTCCTTCAAGAACATTGCTTAGTTCTGCAGACTGTATCTTTAAGAATGTATTCCCTGACTTCCATGTTCCTGGAGCCTCTCTGAGCTTTTCTTGTAGATGCCCCGTTCCTGCATCAGTATTCCACACATGGAGGCCGCTCCCCCTCTAACTGTAGGATTGTGTTCCTGTGCAGGGAATAAGATCTGATGTTGCTGTCAACAGGTGCACCAGCAGATCCCACAGTCCAGCAATGCTTAGCCTCAATACCTGACATTAGATGGACAGGAACAGGAGAGGAGCTACATACGTGTGTGTGTGTGTGTGTGTGTGTGTGTGTGTGTGTGTGTGTGTGTGTGTGTGTGTGTGTGTGTGCGTGTGTGTGTGTGGTGTGTGTGTGTGTGTGTGTGTGTGGTGCGTGCGTGCGTGCGTGCATGCGTGCGTGCGCTGTCTACATCTCTCAGAGGGATGTGCAGGGACAGACAAAGATAAATATAACACATACGAGCACTGCATGCTTACATACGATAAAATCAGGACTTAATTTTGCAAATGCTGTGAGACACAGTAAATTTGTTCACACTTCACATGTAGCAGTAAGAAAAAGACACTGGCAGGACTTCACGAGTACTGTGGCTCCAACAACCCAGAAAAATGGACCCCGTGTGGACTAGAGCTGGTCGATACATAATGTAAGAGGAAAGGGAACTGTCTTACAATTGTGATGATATATTTATTCAATATACAGACATGGAAACTGCTATGTAGGTATGATTAAAGTTATGTTACTACAACTCTTGACTGAAAATGTCTTTCTCAATCATTAAAGTTAAACACCCATCCTTACACCACAGTGACCTTTTAGCCTCGCTGCAGCGTTTTCCACTTGATCAAATACAGTGGGTCTGGTATTTTGCTCACTACTGTCAGTTTCCATGGTTGGAAAAACAACTGAGCAAGTCTGGGCATCATGGGCCCGAGAATCATCTCCCTGTGCCTGAGCCAGAAAATCAAGTGTAAATGAGATCAGTGCAAGTACACACATTTTTAATTTGCAGAAGTAAAAACTCCTAAAGGGCATATTTCTTTGATCAAGACGATAATCTTTTTTTCTACTGCTCTCCTATGGCATCTAAAAATGATGTCAGTGAGACAGATCACTGATTGTTTAAGGTAAAATAATCTCAAAAATTCAAAGCTGCTTACATTAATCACTCAGTGTCTGATAAAGACTGAATGAAGATTAAATTGCCATGTAGTTGAACACCATTATTCAGTCTGTCTCTTTACTTTTTATCTGGTTACATAAAAGGTGCACCGCTTCTCACACTGGTATCTTTGCATCAGATGTAAATTGCTTATTCATAAATTCCTCTACTGAACAGCAATTCTCCAATTGCAGCTTGGAAACCACATCTAGGCATGAGAGGCATGTCGAGCTTTGTAACTTCTCAACATGCCTGTGGTGAGCATGGTGCTGTTGTTAAAGCAACACTTGGCATTTAATGATTACGGAGGGTAGCAGGTGTTTTTTCTAATCTTTTCAACACCAAAAATACAAAAGCAAAACAACTGAGAAAATGCCTCTTACTTTTTATTTTATTAAAAAATCAGGAGAAGTAAATATTGAATGCGTCCGTCTGAAATCAATGACACATGGGGCTCTATTTACTGTTTGTGTTGGCTAACGATGGGAAACACAGTGGTGCAAAAGTGAACAGGTATTTTCATGAGGCACACTCAACTCATCTACTTGACCCAACTATGCCTGTTTAGTAACTTGGTGACTCGCCATGTGCCCCAGTGGAAAGAGAAGCACAGAAGCCAAGTCAAGTGGTGTACAGCAATCTTAGAATGAATGCATGTTCCATGGTCCATTGCAGAGCTGTTGACGATAAGAACTTAATGGACTAAAGCATGATCGCCACAGTCTAGCTAATCAATAGGAAACACTGCTTTGACATGGCAAGACAGGGCATTAGCCTTGGTAGAGGTATGCACTCTCAGAGCTCCCTTCTAGTGCTTTTACTTTCAAGGGACATATTTTCCTGTTTGAGTGAGAATAATGATTCCAACAGTGAGTAAACACTATTGAATGAAGAGTGATTCCTATCACCTCTGTAGAAGCTATACTAGACTGTACTGTGGAGGACATCCCACCAGGCAGGTGGACCCATATTCAGACGATAATTTCGAACGATGTTTGGTTTTCGACCGGTCAAGTCACACTGGCAGCAAACAGTTGACTTTTGGTTGCATTTGTTAGATTTAAACTGATAATAATAAGATAACCAAGTCAAAAATTAAAGCAGGATTCAAACCACAGGAGGTCATGGTAGAATGCTGGTTACATTCTACCATGACCTCCTCAATGTGCAGACAATTTTTTCTACCTCACCTTACTCCCTGACAGAAAGCCTTTACCTTTAAAATACATTGTAATAAAAATAATAAAATAGATAAAATACCAACACATTTTATCTGAGTGGATTATATTGTATTTGAGTAAAAGTATAAGATTTATTAGCCAGAGCACTATAATCAATACTTCTTGGAGAGTAATAGCACATAAAGTCTTCGACAAAAGTATAATTAGGTTATTTTCTGCCTCTTAATGATTCTGTTACACTTTATCAAGCAGATAATATATTACCCACCCCAAAAAACAAAGCCACAAAGGCAGAGGCCAACCGCTGTATATTTACAGGCCCCACAGTGTTGATAATGAGGCAAAATGCTGTGAAATTAACTTGCTTTCCACCTTTAATTTCAAGTGAACCAAGGCCCTGCTGCTAAAAAAAATTCTAAGAGTGCAATTGTGAGGACGTGTACTCAGGAGGAAGAGGAAGGAAAGAGAAAGAAGAATGTGTTCCGTCACTGACCGTGTTTAATTACGTGCTCACGAATAGAATATGAAGGAATCAATAATGGTCTCCCACCTACTGAATGTTCTGCATTAGGTAAACAGGAGGATACTGTTTACTCTTAACAAACATGCTCCAGAGAGCATGAATAATTGTGAAGGGCACAATATCTGTGCCTTTCACAGATTAATATTTATGAGGACATTTTCTCTTTTTTAATTTTCTCTGAGAGCTCGGCGATGGCCAGGGCTTATAGGTATTTATTGGAGGAAATCAAACCTCTGTGCTAGGACATCGTGGTGATCCAGATGTTTTTGTTTTCACTTTTAATATTGCTGCTTAAAGCAGATCGATCTGAGCTAACATCACATTTTATTGTCTGAGATGAGGAACCCGTTCTCTGGCGTTCTCTCGCTCACACAAACGCACACATATCTTCCTATATTTTACCTTTATTCAACTTCATCTCAATACCACTTCTCTCTGAACTTCTACCCATAGTTCTTAGCGAACTCATGCACTATGTATGGCATCGATCAGTGAACAAGCGCAGCACTTGCCTGCCTCATCTGCTGCTCTCAGTTACCCCTGGAGACGCTGAGTATCTTGTTTATGTGTTGGCCCAGGTGCCTGGTCACGGAAGGTGTTTGCTGTTTCCCCTTGCATGGTTTGAGAGTGAGGCATCAAATGTGTGCACGGCCAGATCTCATGTCATCACACTGATGTATTACACTCCATCAAACTGCCAATCAGCAGTCAGCCTGGCAAAAACAAAAAAACACAAAGAGAGGAGAGGATGTTAGGAGAGAGAAAGTAATGCCCTTCAGTGTCCGTACAATAAGATGAGAATAACAGTGGAAGAGGGTATAGCTTGTTTTTGTTTTTTCTTTGCCATGCTGCCAGGTGGAACAGGCCGTTAATGCAAGACTGTCTGTAGATCCCATCATCCCTCATGTCAATGATGAAAGCTAAACCTACACACACACAAACACCAGCTGAGGCATTATAATCCTTCACAGTCACGGCTCTCTCAGCCGCCCTTCAGAGTCAATATAGTTCTGATTTAATAGCCTTATAATTCCCAATGGGAACAAATGAAACCAAATGATTGTAGCCACTGTTTGTAATTGCAGTCATGGCTTCACAAATATATCCATAGACTTATTAGTGGCACAGGTCACATGCAGATCATTATTACCAATAAACAAATGAAATCAAATATTTTATGGAATGCAATTTCTGTGTTTTGTGTGTGTGTGTGTGTGTACTTGATACTAACTTACAGAGTGAGGACATTTCGGCTAGCTAGCTTTAAGAGGGTTATGTTTGTGTGTGTGTGCGTGTCACGGTCAGTTCATTTCACACTGGTAAACAATATGCAGTTCAGCACCGACATAATGTAAATGTGACCGATAACCTGGACTGTCCACTGGATGCACAAAAGATTGAGGACATTTTATTCTTATATTGAGCCTCCTTTATTGCACAATCACCTACCAGCTTCACAATACATTCCCCCGGCCTCCTCTTCAGTGATTGGCATGGATTTAATTGGGCAAAGTGAGGGATAATAGCTTTTACCTGAATTACCCTAATCAGTGTATTTTAAGCGTAGAGCATATTTAATGCAGGTTAAGTGAGCTGTGTATGTTTGGCAGATGGCTTAATACCGCTGCTGTGTTTTTCCTTATCGATGGAGTGATTAGGATTGACTTAGATTGTCTCTGGGATAATCACACTGATTACCTGTCAATAAGCGCTCCCCTCATTCATTCCAAAAGTTCATACACTACACCACTGCCTTTGATTGTAGAGACAGTGCTTCAGTAGGCATGCAGTACATGAGTGGAATTCCACAGCTATGAAGTTATAAAAAAAAAATCTATATTGTAATATTAAAAAGAATTTATTCGTACTGTATCTATATTCACATCAATATACCAAATGAATCTGGGCAGTCGATTCTTGACCTTGGTAACAGCAGCTAACAACAATAATCTCTACTCAAGGTCTATTTACTCACTGCTTCTGGAAGCATCAAGCGCAGTCTTCGTCATACTGAGTCTGAACCTTGAGATTCTTTAGTTTTTACAAAATGACCCAACTTCTAGAAGTTGTCAAAATAATGCAACATTTGTGTGAAGCGTCTGTGCCATGAGGTTGAAAGCGCCAGAACAAGTGAAACTTGAACTTCAAGGTAGATTGTTGCATCAAATATATAGAAAAATCACATGAGCAAATTGTTTTCATACACTGGATAATACCATATAATATAATACAACTCTTTGTAGAGTTCTTGCTTTTTGTTGTTCTTTGGAATTGTTAGTTTAGGCCACAAAATATATAAATTGGATGTTATGATGCTATAAGACATATATGTATGTCTACATAATGTGACTGAGGTCAGAATACTTCGCATTCATTTCATCTTAAGTTGATTATTGCTTATTTGAGTATGACTTTATTCAGATGTAGGGTAATCAGAAAATGCTGTTATTCACACAAGCAGCTTGATCGGGTTGAATACTGCTGTCCATTTGAAAATAGGCACTGATTATCATGGTATGATTCCTCAGGAAATCAATTCATAATATTATATTATTGCTCAATTCTAAACTCTAATGTAAAACTGACATATTGGATGACAAGAAAAAGATGCTGATTCAATTAGAAATACAAGATATAGAGTTTCCATTCTATCTCAACTAATTGGTTGACGATACATACAATAATTTTAAGACACTAAATGATGAGATTCAGTTTGAGTGTTCTTATGTTTTTATAAGGTAAACTTCCAATATTATCTTTGCACATGGAAACCTCCTGTGTACTCTACTTAAATTCAGACATTAGCACTTTATGTCAGCAGAACTCAGTCTTAAGGATATAGAGTCTAGCAAGCAATGGAAAGGAGCGTGTTGTCTGTGTTAAATGTTCACTCATATAGAGCTCTTCTCGCCTTCCTGTCTTTAACTTCTTAAATCACAATGCTCTCAGTTGCAGCTGGAAGCTGCTTTTATTCAAAGGCTTCAGTTCCCCTGAGCGCACATGGCAGATTGTTAATTACAATGGGTCTGGGGGAAAATTACTTTATCGATTTGCATCTAGACAGCTACTTTCAGAGAAAATACAGTAAGGCAGAGGACAAATTTGAGAAAGTCAGATGTTCGTATAAAACAGTCTAAATGTTTGCTACAGCGACAGTGTCTTTATCAGTTATGCATAGCTGGTTTTTTTGCTGCTGAGGTGAAGTCATCCAGCTTTGGGGCACAGCATTCCTCCATATGTCTGACATTGTGTGATATGGCACTGCTGGCTGTTTGGCTATAGCACCTCTGGGAGCGCTGCAGTTCTGAAAGGGAAAGGGCAGTTGTGCAAGAGGCGCCAAGTGGCAAAATAGAGCAGGATGAAAGAGGAAAAGATTGAATAGAGGGGAAGAGCGGGAGTGAGAGAGAAATAAAGAGAGGTCAGGGACCCATGAGAGAAATAGAGGGACATAGACAGAAAATCTAATGCACCAAGGCCAAAGCCAGATAGACAGACCACTCTGGGCAATGGAGACATCCACGCTGACAGAACTGGCCAGAGTCCAGGTAAGAAAAAAAAGACACAGGCTGTATGGGGAATTAACTGAACAACCAGGGGCATGACTTCAACAGCCATGTCTGGAGAACTGACAACTGTAGGTGAGCCAAGAGACACTGAGGAAATATGTCAGGCAATCAGCTAAAGCTGACAAGCGTAGCCGTGGTTGCTAAAAATCTATTGACTCGATAGGAGCTGACTGCTTGATAGGTTTCTCCAGGAGAGCTCAGTGAGGTGGGGGGAGTGTGGCCCGCCTGGTGATTTTCTTTGGCTCGTGATGAGCGATGAAGGTAAATTTCAGTACTCAACGGGCAAGGCAGCATAAAAGGTAAACTTATCAGCCTCCAGTCTCCACAGCTCCGCTATAATTGCCGTGGTTTCCAAACACGAGATATGCAGTATATCTGCAGCTGCCAACATACTGCTGCAAGGCCACAAACATTCACACGCAAATTCTCTATTAAAACTATTCTTTCTTTTTTTTTAAATATAAATCAATCACGTTGTTCTATGAGAGAAAACAAACAGACATATGTCTTTAATCCATAATACATCTGATATGGGCATGGGTGTTTAGCCCCTGGCAAATTACAACTGCATCATGTTCGTGACATTTGCCAGTCCGTTTGCCAAGACTCAAAATTATCTTCATTTATTCCCTTTGATGAACATGTACTATCGGTGGTCCAAGCTCATAGCACACGCCCCATGAAACGATCGAGCAGAACACATGATGACAGCATCTGAGAAATTCGATTCCCAGTATGGCCGGCTATTTGTACTGCTAATATGATTTTGTGGATGGATATATCTTTCTCTGTGAAACACTGATATCATTTCCTGCTTGTTTTTCATAATATACAGTAGAGTGTTTTCAACCATCAGCCGCATCCTTCAGCCTAGTTTAAATTCCAAAGGACGCATTGCATTGTGAATGCTGATGCGGGTTGATTAAACAGACTCCACACTTTAAACACCTGTGACAGCAGAGCGATATTTACTGGATGTTTATCTCTTTCAAAGCAATTTTATTATCTCATTATCTTTGCATTCTGGTGAGCCGTCATTTGCTGCATTGTGCTAAATGAGTCTTATTAACACCGCCTCTGTCCTTGAGGAAAGGGAAAGAAAGGACAGGTTGATGGGAGAAATAATGTCAACTGTAGCTTAACTTTAAGTGGTGATTTGTTCATATTTGCTGGGGATGTTATTCACAGGGTGTTGGGAGGCATCACATCCATATCAAGCTAATTAAATGTGGATTTAGGTACAGAAAATGAGAAAGACTCTGTGTGACAGACTGTGACAGGCTCTGAAGGTTGAACACTTCTCGGGGTAAGTGTAGAGTTAATTAAAGTCTCATACCACATTATTTCCATGCAAAGGGAGCGTCCATGGCATTTTTCGTTTACTGTGACAGATGGGACCAGCAGGTCTACAGCCAACACCAGCAGCCGTGTGAAGCAGCATTTAGGCAAAGTGGTGCTGTGATCTAAATGCTAACATGTCGATGTTTGCAGGTGTTAGCATGCTAACATTTTCTAATTTGCACTTACCATAAAGAACAGCGGAGGCTCCAGGGAATGTAGTTTCAAAGGCAAAACCAAAGGTCAATCAGATTTTAATGTTTGGTTTGACTTTTTATTATTCTTGTGTTTATATATGATGTATTGGCACCATGAAATAAAATGTGTTATTATTATTATTTTCATTTGGCAGTGGTAATGGTAATGTACTTGATTGCATTCCACCAAATTTGTGTTTTTTTCTTGAAGATGGATGAAAGAAAAACGCTCATTACAATTTCACAATTACTTCATCTACAAATCAATGCATGACAAGAAAAAGTCCCAAATTGTATTTCACCAGAGTGGCAGGGATTTATCCATTGGGCAACATGAATGATGGTTCATAGTAATCCATCCCATAGTTGTCAGGACATTTTGCTTAAGACTGTTAATGTGGTAATGAGGTTGTGGGATTACCAAAGTTGGGCTCCATCATCTAGACCCTTGATGATATTTCCATTGCAATCCATCACATAAGTGGTGTGATATGTCAGTCTGGACCAAAGTCTCGAGTCATGGCTAAAATTGAGAGATGTTTGCCATTACTAGACAACAGTTTATTTTCTCCAGCCAAAGCATGAATTTTAATACAGCGTCCTTATGGATGA